TGAACTTACTGATCAACTTTAAGATCACAAAAATAAAGACAACCAAACATGATATGCCTCCTGCTGTGATGGAATAGGAAATAGCACCATCCATGAAATGCTTCTGCCAACAGTTTACAAATTGATCAAGCATCAGATACAATCACTAGTTTATACAAACCAGTGGGGATAGAAGAACATGTAAAAGATACCATGAGGATATAACAGCCAAATCCAAAACGTGGGAGATTTTATAGGACAAGTTACCCCAATTTTTCAACAAATAAATTGCAAGTAAAAAAAAAAATGGGGGCTGGGGACAGGGTGGGCGGTCATCATATAAATTTAAAAGGACTTGAGAAATAGCAGCAAAACCGATGTGTGTACCTTGTTTGGACCTGATTCAGATAAAATAACCGTTTATGGTATAATCAGAATTTTTATACTGACTACTAGATGGCATTAGGGAATTATTGTTAATTTCTTCAAGATGTGATAATGGTATGATGGATATATTTTTTAAAGAGCCCTTATCTCTTAGAGATATATGTTTAAGTATTTTTGAATGAAGTGATATAAACTCTGGGGTTGTTTAAAAAATAATCTAGCAGAGAGTGGGATAGTAGAGGTTATAAAGTGCAATTGGACTTATGTTGATAAATGGTGAAGCCAGGTGATGGGCCCATGGAGGTTCATTATAAATATATTCATGATTTTCAAACACACTTTAGTGTATGTTTAAAAATGTCATCATAAAAAGTTTAATGAAGTAAAAAACATGTTAACACAGTTGATGTGTTATCTGTATATTAACAATAACCAAGTTCATTTCATATACTGCAGTTCACAGAACACTTTTTATGCATAACAGCATAATCCTAACCTCAAGCCTATGAGATAGGTTTTATTATCCTCTTTTCACAGGGAACAGTTTCATAGTGGTTAAGTCAATGGCTCAGAGGCCTGGAGCTAGCAGGAGGCAGAACTGCAATTCAGATCCAAGTCCTTGATTTCTAAATCCCATGCTCCACATGGGAAGGCAGAAGAAATGCTGAATCTTCCTGGTTAAGTCGTTTAACTCCTCAGCCTTAGAAAAATGGGAACCTGCCTTTTTCTTAGTTGTTGGGAAATTCAAGTCTGATAATTTCTAGAAAAGTGCTTGGTTAATTGTCAAGTGCCCTCTAAATTTAGATTGTCACACATAGACTAGTTTTCTAGCAGGGGCCTCTGTAAAAGTGGAGAGCTCTAGGGGCTGGTCTCAGGCAATGCAAAGCTTACTCTTGGCCTCTCCATCCCTTACATCACTGTTAACTGACTGTGGTTAAGATGTTTTTCCTTGTGGCGCACTTGAATGCTTGGCGTTGTCCCGGTGTGCTTTATTGTTTTGTAGCTTGTGGGAGCAGAGCTACAGATGTTTGTAACTGAAAGTTTTATGGCTTGTTTTTAGGCTAAGTAAAAATGAGTATGAAACTGCACAGTATTTTCTGGTGTTGTCCAGAATCCTCTATTAGATTATTTATACTAAGCCGTTGGTACCCCTGAATTTTCATCAAGCAACACTGGAAAACAAATGAGACACTTGATTCTCCAGGAGGAAAAATAATGAAGTGTACAGCTAAAATGGCTGACATTAAATAATAACAACTACAGAAACAAAACACAAAAACAAAACTCTCTGAGGACTTGGTAAACAGCCATGTCAAAATGGCTGCATGCAAACGACCACTTTAAAACATCTCTCTCTGAAACACACATTTAATGATTGCAACTAATCCTGCCAGTGTATTACTTAAACACTAAGAAGAGCACTTAAATATAACTATTTATTTTGTTTTAAAGATATAAGCTATTTCATTTGTAATTGTTTCTTTTATAATAACAGTTTTAGCTATAAATAACTTTGGAAGTCCCCTTACCTCTTTGTGTCTCAATTTTCTTAGCCCTAAGTCAGGAACAATAATAATGTCTATTTCATGGGTTGAAAAATTAGGCAATCATATGTGTGAAAGAAAGTACCTTGTATCTTGCTCAGGCACAAAGTAGGTACTAAATGTTAGTATCTCTTTGAATATAAGTACTTATTAAATTGTGTATTTAAGTCTATTATTGCCACAGAGACAGAGTTTTGTGGCCACCAGGACCAGCGTGGATGCTGAACACCCATGGTACTGAAAACAGAGGCCTGGACATGTGACAAAACAGCACAGAATGTCAATGTTACAATCTCAGTGCTTAGTATATGGCTATTCACTGCACATTTTTTTTCAACTTTTCTGAATGTTTAAAATTGTTCTAATAGGGGCTTCCCTGGTGGCGCAGTGGTTGAGAGTCCGCCTGCCGATGCAGGGGACACGGGTTCGTGCCCCGGTCCGGGAGGATCCCACGTGCCGTGGAGCGGCTGGGCCCGTGAGCCATGGCCACTGAGTCTGCGCGTCCAGAGCCTGTGCTCCGCAACGGGAGAGGCCACAACAGTGAGAGGCCCGCGTACCGCAAAAAAAAAAAAAAAAAATTGTTCTAATAAAATGTTGGGAGACAAAGTTAAAAATAGGATCTGGTGGCCCCTCTGTGCTGTCATGGCCATGAGCAGCCTCAGAGGAGTAAATGGAGATGAACTGTCCAGATGTTAAAAAGCATTAAATGGGCACCAGGGAGGTAGAAATGGAGGTACCGGGAGCGTTGAGGAAGGTAGAGGACGCAGCTCTTTCCTGATGGGTGGACATGGGGCAGGAACCCCAGCTCACAGAGGGTCTTTCTCCTGCAGCCAGGAAAGTTTGCATCACTTGGAACATCAATGTAGGACTTCTCCCGCCAGACAAGCCGTGGTGATCATTTCCAGTTCTGCTTCCAGCCTGCCTGGGGCAACAGCATTACAAGCAATGACTCTGCTTTCAAAATGGAAAACTTCCGTCCCAGGATTTCAACAAGGACTTCTGCAGTTCGGGAAAGGCACTGCCCTCCTCAAGAGTTGAATTAAATTGGAAAATTTCAGAACTGCTGTAAAAGTGAGTCTCAAATGTCCTGAACATAGTATGTACATAACTACTAAGTACTGTATGGGTGATTCATTGGAACTCTAATGCCTTGTTTCGGTTTAATGGATCACTCAGGACGTTGCTTAGGAGAATGGTGCAGTATTTATGCCAAACACAGAGTAGAGAATTACTATCGTAGTAGCGGTTCACAATTAACTGAGTTATGGTTCCCCTAAAATTTAGTCAAATGAGAGGATACATGTATATCTTAACTCTGGACGAAGGTTTAAATATTTTCAATATTATTAAAGCCAATAAACATCTGTCAATCACCTATGAGGAAGTATAGCAAACACTCCTTTTTCTATAATGCATGAATTGTGTAATTTCAGGGAAGTGTCATATTCAAACCTTTGCAGGCACCATCTCTTCACCTGTGCTTCTCTGTAAGAATCATTGGGTGGATGTCTTCACAGTCATCCAAGTATCAGATCAGGGAAAAAGTTGAGACTCTATTCAGCTGGCTAGGAGTTGTTATTATTCTCCAGTTGTATTGTCTGAGTGATACAATTTTAAATAGTCTTTAAAGTGAAAATGCCAATGGTTTGGAAGGATGTAAACTGAAAAGTAAAGTCCATCTCCATACAACATCCCCAGTCTCGCTTCCCAGAGTTTACCCTGATAACAGATTTTTGCATACACTTCTAGAGAATTTTTACACATATGCAAGTGCATATGTGACCCAGATGTCGGCTGTCTACCTCATCTGTATGGCTTGACTCTCTTTTGGTCCCATGCCATGCTTGACACAAAACTCAGCCCCTGGTCAAGGGGCATTTACAAGAAACCCAATCATACCAAATATATTTGGTGTATAAAGTAAATTAAATTAAAGATTGATGGGGGGCTTCCCTGGTGGTGCAGTGGTTGAGAATCTGCCTGCCATTGCAGGGGACATGGGTTCGATCCCTGGTCCAGGATGATCCCACATGCCGTGGAGCAACTAAGCCTGTGCGCCACAACTACTGAGCCTGCACTCTAGAGCCCGCGAGCCACAACTACTGAGCCCACGGGCCACAAATACTGAAGCCCACGCTCCTACAGCCCGTGATCCACAACAAGAAAAGCCACCGCAACGAGAAGCCTATGCACCACAACGAAGAGTGGCCCCTGCTCGCCGCAACTAGAGAAAGATCTCGCGCAGCAACGAAGACCCAACGCAGCCAAAAATAAATAAGTAAACTTTAAAAAAAAAAAAAAAAGATTGATGGGGTTGGGGAGAAGGGTCACATTGCCTGGGATCCGCTTCTGCCTCTTGAACAAAACAAAACTATGTTCAGCATGCCTCTCCTCCGTGGTATTGCCAGCCCATACTGTGCATTCTTCTCTTTGGCCCGTTCACTGTATCCTGCCAACACACACACACATACGCACACAGACACACACACACTCACACACACACAGTCTCAGTAATTCCCATCATGCCTGTTCCAAGGCCTCTGCATCCCCATCCCAGCCCTTACCTTCTCCCAGCCACCCCAGCTGAGTTGTAAGGATGCACTACATTTTATTTAACCAGTCCCTTTTTGACGGACATTTAGGTTGCTTCTAGTTTTCTTTGCTGTATTCAACAATGTGATAATTAATATCCTTAAAGATACATATTTGTATACTTATGAGTTTGTTGTAAACTCTTAGAAGTACAATACCTCGGTCAAGAACACGTGCCTTCACAATTTGGATATATTTTGACAAATTGCTCTTTAAAATATGACATGAATGTACATTCCCATAATGCCTGGGAGCACCTGTTTCCCACACCTTGGCCAACACTGGATGTTACTAAACTTTATAATCTTTACTAATCTAACAGCAAAAAATAGTACCTTATTATCTTTTTTTTTTTTTAGTTTTTAAAAGGAAGATTTATTCAACAAGTTTCACTTAGTGCAATACACCTAAAAGGAAAATCACAATACAATGAAAAGGTTTAAATCAAGGCCTCAGAATTTCATACAAACACCAAGATCAAAATCCTAAAGTATTGGTATTGCGTCTCAAATTTTCCCCATTAACTTAAAATAAAGCTTAAACTTACGTGCCATAGAGGTTATTAAATGAAACTAAAATTAACAAACATGCCAAATGTTTCACTTTTAATTGTAGACACAGCTCCTATATTGAGTTTCACAAAAAAGCATGTCTTTCAACAATGCGTCCAAACAGTGCTCAATGTAATGTGGTGTAAGCAACATTTAACATAATTCAACCGCTTTAACCTAAATACACCTACTGCTTAAGTACATCCTACAATATAACTAACTTGAGAAAAGCTGAAAATTATTTAACAGTAACAGATTACTCAACCTAGTTACATCCTAAATGAATGTATGTGTTCAAAAATACTGAAACTTAAGTCTTTAAAACAATCCTGATTTCCACTTAGAGTAAGCATAAACCACAAGTTTGTGTTGCAAAACTGTTAAAACTTAAGTTCTGTTTTTCTTTTAAAAATTGTTGACCAAGAGTCAGTGATCAGGATCAATTACATTCCCCATTCACCACTCATACTGGACACGCTAGACATCCCTCCCATTCCGTTCACTCCCATAGATGCTTGGCTTCCACTATTGTAGTAGCTGTTCACTGTTCCTTGGCTGCCTATGCAACGTTTGATTGAAAATCACTGGAGTTTTCCTGTAAAACTTGGTCATATCCACTCATGCTGCTCTGGCCACCATAGCTGCCTCCATAACCACCACTCAGCTGCTGGCTGGCTGGGCCGCCATAACTGGACTGGTTTGACAAACCCATGCCTCCTAGCATTTGGCAACCGTAAGCACCACCGCTTGCTCCTGCTGTAGGATTCAAGAAGAGTTCTACATATCTGTGTTGCATTTTTGCTTTGTCTTTTGCCATAGCTGCCACAGCATCTTCATGAGTTGCAAACTCGACATCTGCTTCACCAGTTACTCTGCCATCGGGACCAGTTTCAATATGTACTCTCACAGGGTTGAGTGGTGAAAAAAATTTATAAATGTCATTCTCAGTAGCTCTGTAAGGTAATCCCCACCTGTGTACACAGTGTCCTGTTGTGCTCTGGAAAGTAGAGCCACCATCCTCGTATCTGTGATCTGATATTCCTGAAAAACAATAATTGAGGTCTCTTCCAAATCCATCTGACCCAAATCCATAGCCATCCTTATAGTCATTATAATCATCATAGCCTCCATAACCTCCACTGTAAGCACCACGCCTCATCCTTTCAAAGCCAGCTCCTCTTCCAATGCTGTTATACCCTCTGCCAGCCCCAGGTCTGTCATAGGGACCTGGTCGCTGCATGGCCATAAGTTTTCGTGGTGGATCATAGTGAGTCTAACTTCAGCTCGACTGCTCTTAAAGATTTCGATATACCTGTGCCCTATTCTTTCCTTGTGTTTCTTTGGAGCCTTTTCAGCTATTTCCTGTGAAGCAAACTGCATGAAGGCCTCCCCCATACTCCTCCCCTGGAAGTCCACCAGCAATGTTATCCCATTTGGCATGATTTCCAACCCTGAGAAGAACTGAACAATTTCTTCCTTGCTACATCCAAAGGGGAGTCCTCTAAGCCATACAAAGCCATCATTGGCCGTGTCAGGACTATTTGGACCAGTATGCTTCGACACCCAATCCATTTCAACGTTGTTTGACTTGGATATTTCAACATATCTGTGTCCCATAGTTTCTCTGTCTAAAATTTTTCAGGGCCAATTTGACTTCATCTTCTGATTCAAGTTCAACAAAAGCCTCACCACTCGGTCTGCCTTCTCTGGTGTAGATGAAACGAACACCTTGAGCCCCATTTTGAATTTTGCAGTCAGAGAAAAACCGCTGTACTTTTTCGGCCGAGCAAGACCAAGGCAAGCCCCAGACCTTCACCACGAATCCCTCTCGCCACCTTCGGTGCCCAACATCATCGTCTCTTAGGGGGTCCTGGCATCGAAACAGCCTGCAAGGCGGGGATGAGGGTCAGACCTGCACACACAACTTCGGCGCGGTGAGAAGAAATCCCTTATTATCTTTTTAATCTGTACTTCTATAATGATGAGTGGGATTAAGCATCTTTTCATATATTTATTTGCCATTGTATTTTTTTTTCCTGTAGATGTCCTCTAGGTATTGATACCAACAAATCCACCTCTTGAAATGATCTTTTTCCTTTGCTTCCACGACACTTCTGTCTTTTGATTCCCTGGCACCTCTTTCTTGTTCCTTTGCTGGCCTCTGCTTGTTTACCTACCTCTGGAATGTTGCTGTCCTCCAGGGTTCCAGCCTCATCCTGCTTCCTTTTCATTGTACATGCTCTCCGCCTGTGATTTCATCTACTCATCCAGGAATAGTTACCTTTTATTGACCATTTCTTATGTTCTAGACATGCTACTAGGCATTCTAAATGCTTATTATAACTCTATGAGGTTGGCATTATCATCCCCAAGTTTACAGATGAGGAAACTGAGGTCACAGATTAACTTGCTTAAGATCACACGTACCACCAGTAAATAATGGAGTTGGGATTTAATTCCAGAGCCATTCCTTTCTAGTGCACAAGCTCTTTCTATCACTCACTTGCCGTGTCCTCATTTATCATCTATAGGTAGAGCATCCCAAATCTATATTCCCACTCCAAGCCTCTCTCCTGGTCTCCAAATCCAATTCCTCAGTAGAAATCTCTACCTTGACATCTGCAGGAACCTTAGAGACAACATGCTTCCCCATGAACCTGCCCCTCCAGTGATTCCTTTCATGGTTAGTGGGGCCTTCCAGCCTCCCAGACTCAGCTGATCAATCACCAAGTCCCACATCAAGTCAGACATCTGAACTTTTCTCTCCTTCCCTCTGCTGCCCCTTAGCTCAGGGCCTTGCCATTTCTTGCCTGGAATGTTGCGTTACTTCCTAAAATATTCTCCCTGCCACCAGGCTCTGTGCATTCTAGTTTATCCCCTACTCTGCTACCAGAGGTAGCTTTTTTCAATAAGCACAATAATCCATAAATGTTGATAATATTCTTTATCTCATAAGGCTCTTATAAGGAATAAGTGAAGTAATCTATGTAAGATATGTAGCTCATGCTAATTCCTCAATAAATATTATCAAAATTGACTTTTTCCTCCCAAAAAGTAAATTCTGGTAACACAAATTCTTTTGGTCTGCACTATAAGGTCTAAAGGCCCATTGGATTCCAAAGGCCTGACCTACCACCCTCTCTTCTGGCCTCACACCTCTGCTCTAGCCAACAAAATTTCTCACGTTTCATGTCTCTGTGCCTTTGCATAGACTGTTCCCTCTGCATGGAATTCTCTCTTTTTTTTTTTTTTTTTTTTTTTTTTTTTTTTTTGCGGTACGCGGGCCTCTCACTGCTGTGGCCTCTCCCACCACATAGCACAGGCTCCAGACATGCAGGCCCAGCGGCCATGGCCCACGGGCCCAGCCGCTCCGCGGCACGTGGGATCCTCCCGGACCAGGGCACGAACCCGTGTGCCCTGCATCGGCAGGCGGACTCTCAACCACTGCGCCACCAGGGAAGTCCAGAATGGAATTCTCTTCGCTGCACTTACTCCATTAGTGAGCTCCTTTGATTCTTTAAGATCTACCTCAAAGCGCACTTTCCCTATGATGCCAGCCCTGAATTCCTTTGATCAGGTTCCCGGGCCCCTTTTGTTGTTTTAATATTTATTAATTTATTTGGCTGTGTCGGGTCTTCATTGTGGTACGTGGGATCTTTTGCTGCAGCACGCGGTCTTCTCTCTAGTTGTGGCATGCGGGTTTTCTCTTCTCTAGTTGTGGCGGGGGTTCCAGATCTCATGGGCTCTGTAGTTTGTGGCACACGGGCTCTCTAGTTGAGGCACGTGAGCTCAGTAGTTGTAGCGTGCAGGCTTAGTGGCCCCGTGGCATGTGGGATCTTAGTTCCCCGACCAGGGATCGAACCCGCGTCTCCTGCATTGGAAGGCGGATTCTTTACTACTGAGCCACCAGGGAAGTCCCCCTGGGCCCCTTCTTTGCACCCCTTTATTTACTTACAACATTGCATTGCAGGTATGGCCTATCTCCATGACAAGGCTGAAAACAAGGGCTGTTTCTTATCCATCGTCATGTACTCAGCATGTGGGACACAGGAAGTGCTTTCAAACTGCGTGTGGAATTAACATGCTTCTTAACACGTGTTACGAAACACCAGTCATACCCTCCCATCTGGTAGAGCTAGTGCCCTGCAGGCAAGAGGCCCAGGCCCAGCCTCTTAAGTCCCGGCCCTGGGTGTGAGGCTAGATGAGTCACTTAAAGCCTCTGAAACCTCATGTTTGGACCTGCATAGCCAACCTAAGCAGTCCCTCAGACAAGAAGGTCAAAGGTCATACATGAGAAAAGCCAGAATGCAGTCAAGATGCAAGATGTTAGGTCAGCCAAAGCCAGGGGAGGAATGATTGTTTTAGGAAATGGAACGATACCTGGAAAGAATGCAGGCATTGGAGGCAGATAGATGAAAGCATTATGTTATCCTGTGCTCACACATTAGCCCTGACATATCATCAGCTTAATACAACAAAGGGCTAGTCCCATTCAGTACAAGTCCACGATGGGGACAGGCATCTGCCCTGCTCAGTCCTAGACCCATACTGATGACGTGTGGCAGGTTGGGGTCCCCGAAAAGCAGGCTCGGGAAGGAAATGAACGTGCAGGAAGTTGTTTAGGGAGTGCCCCTGGGATCAACACCTATGTAAAAGTGCAGAAGGAGGGCTTCCCTGGTGGCGCAGTGGTTGAGAGTCCGCCTGCCGATGCAGGGGACACAGGTTCATGACCCGGTCCGCGAAGATCCCACATGCCGCGGAGCGGCTGGGCCCGTGAGCCATGGCCACTGAGACTGCGCGTCCGGAGCCTGTGCTCCGCAACGGGAGAGGCCACAACAGTGAGAGGCCCGCGTACCGCAAAAAAAAAAAAAAGTGCAGAAGGAGACAGGATTGTGCAGAGGGAGGAGGTGAGCTGCAATGCAGGCCTGGCAACAGCCTTGGCCTAACCCCCCCGGGTCTCTGCAGCTCGAATAGCCCTGTAGCGCTGTCTGGGGTTGGAACAAGATGGCTGGATCCTTATACCTCCGTGTCAATCCCAGGGTAGACCACAGGCAAGGTGGCTCTCTGCAGCTGAGGCGATCCCTGCAGGGACTGACTGTGGAAAGCTGTCTGCAGACAGCTACTCCAGCCCCTGGGGCGACAAGTCTTTCCTGGAAGGGGACGTGAACAGTGCACCAGAGAGCCATCATGTAGAGCATCCACATCACAGAGTAGCTGCATCCTCGGAACACACACCAAGGTACTCAACTTGGATTTTCTTCCAGAGGCTGATCCTCAGCCCAGGATGTGAGCGCAAGTAGCTTATTTGGGCACGTGCAAGTGAGATGTGGAAGGAAAGGAAATCAATGTAGAGTGCTTTGTGGAACAGGATGCTGCTGGATGAGACAGAATCGAACATGCCTGGAGTTATTCTACTCCGGGGGCAAAGAAGGGGTGGTACTTATCCACCGAGTCCTGCGTGTCATTATGCAAAGCCACTCCCGGAGGCAGTCACTTCCTGGCGATTCCCATCTGCCTGGCCCACTTGAGCGGAGTTACGGTGGGAGGAAGAACTGGCATGAATGCAGCGGTGAGCACCAGGGGGATGTGGGTCGAGCAGTAACAGAACCTGCCACACGGGGCGGGAGAGAGCCTGGGCAATCTCCCAGGAATATTATGTTGCCTCAGCCCAGAGTGACACATTCACAAGCCCAAGGGCAGAGTGAGTGGCCTGGCGCATCTGTGATTGGGCCTGGACAAGGCTGCCTTGCCCGCAGAGAGGGAGTGGGAAGTGGGTATTGCTGAACCCTGGTAACATTTACCTCCACCACTCCTACCTACCAGCCGTGTGTGATTGAGAAGTTGCTTTATCTTTCTGAGCCTCAATTTACTAATCTGTAAAGTGGGGAGAATAACACCTATGTCATAAAAGTGTGATAGATGGAACTAATGCACATAGAGAATCTACCACAATGTAGCAGTACTGGTGATGTTCTGAGTCCCCATCTTGAGTTACGTGGTAGGTTCATTTTTATTCATTTGATTGTTATACGTAATAACACACATATATTACCTCTACTCTTTTTATTTATCAAATGTAACATTAAAATAATAAAGGACACTCTCTTGACATTATGTATTGCTGAAATTCTAAGATGAATTTCAAATATGTAAATATTTGACTATATAAATATTTAAAATATGCATTTATATATTTCTAAATAGGCTACCACAGTTTCTAGTAGATAGGGCGCACTTAGTTAATGGTATCTATTATTACTTGGGAAGTCCTGACAATCAATCTCATTAATCACAGGCAAACAATGGATCTGGAATGTGAGTTACCCAGATAAAGAACCAGTTCAAGGGTCTGCTTGGAGAGGAGAGGTGACCTAGGCTTGTTGACTCACCATGTAAACACAAGTCATGGTAATTTACTAACAGCAAGACCTACTTCCTGCTGAGAAT